TTTAACATTAGAATGAAGTAAATATAGCAAACAAACGCAGACTGTGCGTGGTCGTGACGTAATTTGAAGCCAGTTGCTTACTTCGTCTACATCATAGTTATTTGAGAGCCCTGGTTTCAGCTGAAGCCTTTCGTTGAAACATTCGACACCCTACAAGGGGCCGTCGGAATTATTTCCCGTGAAATCTTACTGTTCTCAGAGTTAAGAGAGGCTGTGGTGCACCAAATATTATGTGAGCTTGTGCAAGTGTTCGAAAATCCGGCGCTCAATTGTGTCCGCCAATTATAATTCTGGGTAACTTATCATAGAGACCCAAGCGTGATTAATTTTCATGCGGTTGTCTTGACTTAGTGGAAGATGACCTCCACAACACAAATTGAGCCTGACGTGCCAAGAATCACTGACCGAAAGATAAACTGTGTCATTTCAAGACGGATGGATCACGGTAACACCCTGTGATAGTTATCATATCCGTACCTCCACCTCTGAGTACAGTCTTCGTTGGTCTACTTTTTTACATTATTCAGATGTTTTCCTTCGTTTTTCCTCCTTAAACAGCATAAGCGTAACTTCGGTCAACATAATAACTGATTTCACATAGTGGGAAAGCAAATCATTGATAAAATTCTCTCGGAGCAGTTTTTGGAAGTGCCTGCTCGTATGTATTTTAACTTTTTCACCCTCCTACCATTGTCAAGTGAATTAACGCTGATTGTGAATTGGTTTCAAAATCTTTTTCGGTGAGGTAGAACATGTGAACATGTCCAGACCACGAAACTGTGAGTCTCCAGAGGTTGGTACTACCACGATAGAGGCAATTACCGGCAATACTAGCATTCAGTGATAAACGTAGTGACCGCTGTTGTAGTACACGGAAAAAGTATTGCTTGGCTATGCTGCTAGAACCATTTTACTGTTAATGGTGAAAGTGACGGCCAAGGTGGAAGCGATCACGAAAGGGTGCTCGCATTTACAGAGTTTATAGTCCAAGTGGCGGATAAATTCTAAAGTAAAGCATGAGCATGGGTCCGAGTGAGGTACGTAGTAACTTTGTGACGCAGTTTATGACAAGGGCCTGGCGTAAAAGGTGTACGTCTAGGAACGAAAGACTTAACAATAGGACACCTATTTTAGTTTAAACCTCGAAAACTTCTTGAAATTTACCCGTCTTCACGAGCAAAAATCGTTTTTGTTGAGTCGATAGTTAGAATAACAGTTAGCTAATGACGCAAGAAATAAGAAAAAACAGAGGTGGAAATTTAGTTTATTCAAATTTGGTTCGTAAAAGGAATTATGACTGATCCAATTGAAAAGCGAAATAAGTTGGCAAAAGCTGTGTTGTCCGTGGATATTTTAATCCGACGGTTTTTGATCTCAATAGAAAGAGAAAATTAGGTACTTGCTTTGGTATCAACTGTTCGGTCCTTAATTATTGTACTTTCCAGAAAATTCGATAATACAAAAATCGACTTCTCGGTGTAGCTTCCAAATACAATGCAAGAAAAAGTGTCGGGTATTTTTATGAACCACTCCCACCGTTAGCTAGACGGAGCCGACGATGGTACTGCGTATGAAGTTGTTACACGGACATATTTCACATTTAAATTGTCTGCAGATGTTAGTCATTTTATTAAAGAAAAACATTTTCGTCCCTTAATTCGCTTTACATGGCAAAGTTTGAGCACAAGCAAAGTTCAAACTGCCTGAGTCACGGTGGCTCAGCGTAATTAATAGACATTAATTATATTTCGAATGCCCCATAAATAGCCTGATACTTCTTAAAATGTCCAGGGATGCGGAGCAACATACAGGAAAGCTTATAGCCAGTATTGCGAAACAAACTACGGAGACCTACAACCACCATAGATACCTATGGTGGTCGATATTCATTGCGCTTCTTTAAAGAATACTATGCAAATAAATGTTCAAATGCTAAGAACTAACTACAGAGGAAACGTTTTCCATGCATTACTAAGAATTAAAGAGCAAAACATAAACGAATTTGCGGAAGACTTTCTTAGTTTATTCTTCTGTGGAAAGACAATAGCAAACTTGCAAAAATAACCAGAAAGCAGAGTATTGGCGAAACTTACACGAAATTGAAACACGCTCGCAGACGTCTCAGGTCAAAATCGTATACGAGCCAGAGCTGTAGCGGCCGACCCGGTAGGCCTGATCCGCTTGTTTAAAATGGACCCCTTGGCGGGGAATTAACGTTTTTTGGCTAGTGACTTGGTGCACGTGGTTGCTCCTGCTCTTTTTCCGTTCTAATGCAAGTCATCGACGGAGAGGACCCTTCCCCCCCTGTGGACGCCTCCAACGCCACTTCCCCTCTGAACTCGACTAATTGACCTCTCCCTCACTGGCCAGTGTTTATTCTATTTCCATATAACAATTTCTCTGTAATTCCCTAATACATTATACTCCTCCAGTTATATTTGGATTTTCACTGACTGCCTGATTGTACGATGGCTCTTGACGGTCACAACGACAATGAAACGGGTCGGCTCACAGAGGATTCTCAGGGCACCTCCGAGAAGATAGATGAGAAGTCTGACACCCCCTCTGCCTCGGGCATTACAGAGCAATCCAACAGGTCTCAGTTTGTTCAGTTCAGTTTCATGGAGGAAAAGATAGGCAAAGGCCTTTGAGCTCCCTATTGGTGATATAGTGGCTGAGAAATGTATCAATACAATACAAAAATTCAAACAATGATTATTCACATGATTGCAGGCAAAAAGTTAGTAGCTATCGGATACCGAGAAATAATGAATATGCGTTACTAATCACTCATTGTGAGTACTATAATCACATTATACAATTGATTAATTATTTTAGTATCTCGGTTCATGAGCGATGTCAGTGACACGAGCCCTTAGACAGGAGAAAGTTAAAAGAGAGCAGACGGTGAAAAAACTCTTTGCGCTGTTTTCGGAAACTATGGGGGTTTAAAATGCGATTTGGGGATTTTTAAGGAGAAAAACTGTTGCTCATAGGAGGAAATGTTCACGAGATACGAGCGTCATGCTAATAAGGATGTTAGGACGGGACAGGGGAACCTATCACGGATAGTAGCCGTATAGTTATGAGAACACGGAGGAAAGCGTCGTAGGGGTCTCGAGATACTCGACGTGCCAGAGATGAGACCACGCTAAGTCCTTGCCGATTTCCGAGGCCGTTATCAATCCGACGAGAACAGGAGAACCTGCCGCAACTGCCACTATCCGTTGGTGGTCGACACAAGTGGGTTGCATGCATATGGGATGAATTTGGTGCAGAAAATAATTCATAAATAAATATTACTCAAAATATTTCGCCTGCGGTAAGAATACAGTGGTCAGCTGGTGTTAGCGCGAGTAATCTAGTTTCCTCGTAAAGATTTCAACGGAAGCAGACATAACAGCATCTAGGAGCAGAGCACTCCAAGCTTCAGCTACTATTTCAAATGAAGAACGTTCGTGTGTCTAATCTGGCCCCTGTTACACGTAATTTGAATGGATGACCTCCTAAGTTCGTAGTTGCTGCTAAATCGAAGAAGTCGCCAAGTAG